CTGGCTGTCTCTCCTCGCTCATCCTCCTGGCTATCTCTCCTGTCTCTCTCTCTCCTGGCTGTCTCTCCTCGCTCATCCTCCTGGCTATCTCTCCTCTCTCTCTCTCTCTACTGGCTGTCTCTCATCGCTCATCCTCCTGTCTATCTCTCCTCTCTCTCCTGGCTGTCTCTCCTCGCTCATCCTCCTGGCTATCTCTCCTCTCTCTCTCTCTCTCTCTCTCTCCTGGCTGTCTCTCCTCGCTCATCCTCCTGGCTATCTCTCCTTTACTCCCTCTCTTCTGGCTGTCCCTCCTCTCCCCTGGCTGTCCTCGCTCTCTCACCTGCTTGTCTCTCCTCTGTCTCTTCTCGCGCTCTCCCCTGCCTGTCTCTCTTTGCTCTCTCCCCTGCCTGTCTCCCCTGGCAGTCCTCCTCTCCTGGCAGTCCTCCTCCTCCCTATCCTCCTGTCTATCTCTCCTCTCTCTCCTGGCTGTGTCTCCTCGCTCATCCTCCTGGCTATCTCTCCTTTCCCTCTCTCTCTCTCTTCTGGCTGTCCCTCCTCTCCCCTGGCTGTCCTCGCTTTCTCTCCTGGCTGTCTCTCCTCGCTTTCTCTCCTGGCTGTCTCTCCTCTCTCCCCTGGCTGTCTTTCTTCGCTCATCCTTTTGGCTAGCTCTCTTCCCTCCTGTCTCTCTTCGCTCGTGCTTTTGGCTTTCTCTCCTAGCTCTCTCCCCTGGCTGTCTCTCTTTGCTCATCCTTTTGGCTGTCTCTCCTAGCTCTCTTCCCTCCTGTCTCTCTTCGCTCATCCTTCTGGCTGTCTCTTCTGGCTGTCTTTCCTCACTCTCTCTCTCTCCTGGCTGTCTCTCCCCTTCCCTTCTGTGTCTTGTCGTTCCCTGGAGATCTCTCTCTCCCACTCGTCTGGCCTCTCTGCTGCTGCTGCTTTTACATGACTTGTGTCCTCAGGGTTCTCCTGGAGCCTAATGGGTTCCCTCCTGGCATCCATGGTCAATTTCCCTGCTGGCGGGCTACATTCTACTTGGATAGCAGCTCTCTCCCTGCAGGTTCTCCCGAGTTTGTCTCTGCCTGCCATTTCTTTTGGTTCTCCCCAGGCTCTTCTCTTATGTTTCCCAGGCTCTACGCTCTGCCATCCAATCAGCTATGTCCTGTCCTGGCGCGGTGCTAGTGCGGCCAAATGTGTTGAGTGCTCTAGGTGGGGAGGGGCTCCCCGTCTGTAGCGTCCGACACATTCGGCTGCACTACCTCCGCGGGAGGGAGCCGACTGGAGATCGCGGTCTATACGATCGCACTTGACAATGATGTCCAATCACTGCGCTGCTTTAATAATTGGTAGGAGAAGCATACGTGCCAGAGAAAAATTGCTGGCCACATATCCATGTACATATATACACAGGCAAAGCAATGATGTTTTATTGTTATGTGGCTGAGGGTAGGCAGCTTCTGCTATAATGTGCAGGTATACCGAGCATGTTGTGGCAGGCTGGGTTTGACTCAGTCCTGGAATACACAGCTGTAACCTCCCATTATACCCTTCACTTAACCACTATGGTGCAAAACCACAATCTACCTTCCAAGGATGCACATCAATTTACAGCAGGACGGCAACACACAAGTTATCTCCTCCAAATGTATCTTTATTACATCCTGAAAAGTCCATTAAAGCAACAACCGCTGACATGTTTCAGCCCTACTTTGCCTCAGTCATAGCATAGCTTACCTCTGGCTTTGCCCTCCTCTAGCACTGACCATTTTGCTATTGTCATCGCTGCTTGATCCCCCACCACTTCCATTTTTTCCCAGTCTGATGTCTACACGTTTTGGGTGGTACCTAATGGTGTAACTCTTGTGACACTGGAGTTACATCGCCTCAGCACCGGGCTACTTTCTCAGCATCTTACGGATGATGGGAGTGTATATCGCACATGCACTATGCACTGAAGGCAGTGTAAGCAAGAAAACAAAAGCCAAAGGAGTATGGTGTGTTGATGGAATGCGAATACCATTATGGCGTCCAGTGGTATTGATTCACTTCCTGTGAGCCCTGGCTGTCATGGACACTCCCCCCCTAATGGGGTGATATTACACCAGCTTAGTCCAGGGCACTCTCACATCATTATATGAGCTTCCTTGAATGCAGCAATTTCATGCTACATAAGAAGGTCCCGTAACATCACATGAGCAGCAAGCAAACTGCTGGTATTTAGGTATGTGTTTCAGGAATCTTTAAAATATAGTGCAAGGAGGAGGAGGGGGGG